CTCTATCTGCTAAAAATAATTCCTTTAAGACTTCTCCTATGGAGTACATCACTTCATCACAAAGACAGTTCCATAAATGCAATAAAAGCACAAAGTACAGTGAGCTGTTTAAGGCAGAATGGAACTGCACATCCCTCTTACACCTGTGTCCAGGGGACAGTCAGTCCACTGAATTTACCTTGAAGTCTTTTGCAAATCTATTGTAAAAATTCCCCAGTCATGTTCCAAACTGCATGACAGCTTCACCATCCCCTACCAAGCAGGGCTGCACCAGAACTGCAGAGCCCTGAACTGCCAAGCAGGAACAGAAATAACCAGATCACAGAGCCATTTTCCTTCAATGGATTATTGACACTAATTAATAATTAACAGTACTATAATGACACTAACAATATTATTAATACTAACAGTAACAGAGAGTCAAAGCAGGAGTAACTTCTCCATTTCCTCACTTTCTCAATTCCCACTTTCAATGACTCTCTCAACTCAAACCAAATGACCAAACTGAAAAAAAATCTTCTCTGCATCTATAGAACAGTTTATTGTTATTGAGTGTCACTCAGCACTTCACAAAATGTAGTTTCTGGCATTTAGTTACAAATTCCTACTGGTTCAGTGATCTAGAAAATCTTGATTATAACAGTGGGCTATCAAAGCATTACTCTAAAAACATTACTTTTAGTGGCTAATATCAGGTTTGTGTTTGTATAGGACTGTAATGAGGATTTTTATCTGTTTTTATTCCACCCCTATTTTTTTTAATACAGCCTACTAATAAACAGCCAGCATAAAGAAAATAAGGATCTGTCAAGCTATAAATAAAAACTCAAAAAAGGCAAACAGTCCATGAGTGAAAGAGTCTAAGGAACAGCTTCCAAAAGGCATTAAAGCACCATAACACTGTATTTTCAAAGAAATTAGGGCTACCACCAGTATAACAGAATCCAAAAGGTCAACAGATCACCCAATTGTTAATAAAAATCCAAAAACCAAAACCAACCAAACAAAAAAAAGGGGGAAAAAAGGCATTTAGAGAAGATAAGGCTCAGATGCTCACAAACAAGGAGTTTGCAAAGATTCCTATGTCAGAAAAGCTTCACAGGGGACACCCAAGAATTTTTTCCTGAAGTTAAAGCCCTGACAGAAGTGGTTGGAGGACAATCATAAAAAAAACCCCACAAAAGCCAAACCCCCACTCCCTGCCCCAAAAAGTCAGGAGTTTGCCAAGTTCAGATGATGCCCACACAGGAAACTCAAGGATGAAACAGGTGCAGTATTAAATGTGATCTGCAGTTTTGACTTTTAACACCTTATCACCAGAGGGCCTGCAGATTGCCAAGAGGACCCAGCCCTGCAAAAAGCCCCTGAAGCCATGCTCACATCAGCCTGGGCTGTCTGTGTGGGCAAGGCAGCATCACTCAGCAGTGCTGATGCACAGGGACAGCTCAGACTGCCCAAATCAGCATTTCTGTGGCTCTGGTTTTGGACACAGAGGGGCTCTGAGCTGGGCATTACCATGCAGGAATGGACTCTGGCATGAGGATGGAAAGGGCCATGGAAATGCCAAATCACTGCTCTGCAACAGTGAAAAGCAAAAACAACTGCAAGGAATTACTGGGAGTGGAGCACTGGCTGAAATCACTGCTGCCTGCATTTTAACTTCCAGCATAGGGAACAGGAAGGAAAGGGAGAAGATGACATTTATGAAGGGCAACTGAACACAAACACACTGCCTCCAGCTCAGGGAAGCACAAAGCTGTGAATTACTGCAAACCAAGTGAGTCTTGTGGGAGGGAACTGCCCTGCTCCTGCACCTCTGTGCTACTGATCAGCCAGAGAGACACAATATTGGCAAAAGGAACCTCAGCCTGCCCCGGAGGGCTTTTGTCATTTCCTCTCCCTCTTTTCTTTTTCCCAGAGCTGGAGCCTTAAAAATTGCATTGCAACTCCAAATGAAGGCAGAAGATAGCAATGATACCTTAGGTGATCCAAGGAACCCACAGGAAATGGATTTAATCAAAAACCAGCGAGCCCCAAATCTCACCCTCTCTGAGGTCAGCACTGATGTGTCTTTGGCCTCAGTGCTGCAGGATGATGCCTGCAGTGAGCTGCTCATGAACCACTCACAAATTCCCCAACCCTTGCCCATAAACTGAGTAACTGTAATTCACCCCTGGCCAGAGCAGGAGAAACCAAAGCACAGCACATCTGTCAGCAGCTGGAGCCCTTGAGCAAACAGTGAGTGCAGGCCCCACTGGCTGTGCCAGGGATGCACAGCACCACAAAACCTGTCACGGCACAAACAGGCTGCTCAGGGTGACAGGCAGGCATTGCAGCACCTCAGAGCTTCATTTCTCTAAAATACTACACAGCAGGATGATGAGCTGGACAAAGCACCAGAAATCCAGACAGAAAAGAAGGAAGCATCCATCCACCCCAGCAAGTGTCCCAGGATGGGAAGCTATTTTATTTTCTGACCACACACCTGTCACCCACACAGATATGCACACATTAGGAGTCTGTGGCAAAACTCGATTCACTCTGTTTTGACAAACCAATGAGGCAACACAATTTGGGGTTTTTCCTTCTCCCCATCAAAGGTCAAGCAATGTTGTTGCTGCCTCATGCAGTGAAAACAATCAGAAGCTCATCTCCCAGTCCATGTGGGTGTCAGTCTGACACCTACACACTGAACAGGCACAAGGTTTACAACCCTGGGCAATATTTACTAATATTTAACTAATAGGAGCATTCTTGTTCATATCCAGAGGGGCAAAGTATCACCCTAAAATATAATACATTAAAAATGCATGATATTTTATAAAAAAATAAGGTATTGTAAAATATAATGTATTGTAAAATACAATGTATTGTAAAACATACAATACAAAATGTATTGTAAAAATGTAACGTATTTGTAAAAAAAAAAATACATCTCTTTTGTATGAAAGAGATGCTTGGTATTAAAAGAGTGAAAGAAGTAATTCTGCAAATTTATGGCAACCTGAAATCTACGAAAGGAGCCTGTCCCAAAAGGTGTTTAACACACCAGGTGCATCTTGGGAGTCACTTAAGAGAAAATAACTTCTAATGGAAAAAAATTTCTAATGGAAATGGGGAAAATTAGTCGGGAAAAAATAGTTTAATGGGATCAACAGGTAAGTTCCATTCTTCTGTCCTTCAGCAGAACTCCATCCCAGTGCTCTCAGCATTGAGAGTCCCTGGGGAGCCCTAAGGCAAGAGCAGAAGTGAGTCTGTTCCAAGGGACACTGGAAATGAGTGAGTGAAAGTCCCTGTGCAGCTGCAGGTATCAAAGCACAGCAAACCTTTTCCAGACACTTTGAAACAAACCTCACCATCCAGTTTCTCTGGTTATAGCCAAAATACAAATATGCTCCATAAAAGGATTAAAAATAGCACTGCCTATGAAAAATGAATGCAACACATTAAACCCAAAATGTGCATCTTATAGAGGATGAATCAGCTCTGGAGATGTCAGGGATTCCTTCCCTCTCCTGTACTGCACAGTCACACACAACAGCGGACTTGGAAAACATTCTCCCCTTTAGGTGTGAACCCACACAAGAGAAAGTCACTGCTCCCCAGAATTTCAGCTACATGAACACTAAAGCTGGCTCTCACAAACATTTTACATGCAGAAAGGTGAAAATCTAACTGGAGAGCAGGTCCCCATAGCTGAAACCAGCCCTCTCCATAGGCACCCCAGGGATTTCTGACTGTCACACTGCTCACTCCTGTGGGACAGCTCCAACACAAAACACAGCACTGGCACAGATACTGGCTGCAGAAAAATCAACCTTAACAGTTACCTTGAAATGCCTTCCTCCTTTTAGCTGCTCACAACTCTTTCTATGGTACAAATTTTAGCTCCTGTCCTCTGTTCAAACTAAGTGTTTCACTTAGCTGAAGCACTGAGAAAAATCTTTCCATTCTTTTTGGGTCAGTTGCTTATGAAATTAGTTTAATATTTTTTTCTTGGATACTGGATTTGGTGTTAAATATGAACTGAAGCACAAGCCATATATGATTCCCTTCTGAAAAAACAGTTTATGTATTCAGTATAAAAAACACATTTTGACTGTTCCAAGCACAAGCAGTAAATGTTTAACATGCAAATTCCCTCACACACAATATGCAATAACCTTATTTTGGCACATGGTTACAAACACTACCCTACCAACTCTACAGTTACCTTCACAGTTTTTTCAATCAACTCTGAAATCCCTAAATACAGCAATACATATTTTCTTTTAACAACCAAGTTCTTTCATTATTTTCCAAAACTCAGTTTACAAGATTTCCAGTCTACTTTTTACCTCCCTCAGTGGTTTCAGCAAAGATTAAGGACAATCAATTCTTTCCAAGCTCTCTCCTGGAGCTTGTGTCTGTTACCTCATTTCCTGGCTCCTATGAAGCAATGTGAGACAAGACTTTGGTGAAAACTATCATCATAACACTTACATTTTCAAATACTGAGTTCAGTTCCTCAAAAATAGCAATGAGCCCTTTGGCATATGAGACTGAAATTCTTCCATCACTCTCTTTTCTTCAAGTGGTCATGCAACTGAGAAGGGTTTTTAAAAACACTCCCAGAGAGTTTTCCAACTGCCCCAAGCAACCATCTCTTCTTTTCCCTCTTTCCCAATTCCCAATGGCATATTTCAGAAAACACTCCAGCTCTCAGGGTGTTTCTACCCTTGTTCATCCCCGATAGCTCTGTTCAGCCTCTCCCTTTCACACTCATTCAAACCACAGTACATAACATACAGCACCATACCTTCAATTTAAAGAAAAAAGAAAAAAAATGTTTTCCTTCATCATTCAGGCAGGCTTTTCAATCAAAATCAGATCTTCATTAAAGATCAGATCTTCAATCAAAATCAGATCTTCATTAAAGATCAGATTAGATTTGAGGTCAAGGACTACACATCATTTAAAGCCACACAAAACAACTTTATTGATTTAATATAAAAACTTACCCACTTGGCAATTGGACACCCCTGAGAGCTTTTTCCTTCCTTTCCTGTATAAACCACCACCTCAATTCTTACAGCACTTCCTTTTGCTCCATACCTGCATTAAAAAAAGTTCATAACTAAAACAAACTACTGTAGGCAATTATAAGATGAAACATTTTCAATAAAAGATTAATGAATTTATTTTTTCTTAGAACAGAAGAAAAACAAAGTATTTATAAAGCAAAAAAAAATCCTTTTATTTAAAACCCTACTTTGCAAGAGCAGTTTTAGACATCTCTCTTCTGATAAACTTCTGCCACTAAGGAAATGTTATCTGCATATAAATCCTAGTGCAATCAGTCACTATTATGACCTTTTTTTTCCAGTTTGCCACAGCTTCTTTACAGGTAGGACACCAGAAAACCTTACTCTGCCAGCTGCTGATCTCTGTCCTTCCTATTGACTTCAAGGGCACCTCAGAACTCACTGCACTTGACCTCCAGCCCTGGGCTCGGGGAAGACACACGAGTTTGGACCTGCAGGGCTCATGCTCACCTCATGACATCTGAACAAGAAAACACTTTACAAATGAGTACTGACAAAAGTGCAATAAAACAAAGCTAAGCACAGCACTTCCTTTCACAAAGCTCTACTTCTTCCCTGTTTAGACAGCCAAAAACACAATGACATTAAAAGCTGGGTTTTCCTCACCTGTTCTCCATAATTTCTCTCACAGCAGCCACACTTGGTCCTGTCCCGAGGTGTGTGTAATAGGGGCCTTCATCTTTTTCTATAATTTGCTCTGGAAACAGGTAAAGAAAACTATGTTGGCACATCCAAAAATTGATTTACCCCATTAAAAGTAAACTTAGAAACAGTTTACAGAATTGCCTTCCAAACTAAATTAGAACACAAAGTTTGAGCCTGAATAAAGAGTATGACAGGCTTTTCTCTTCAGACACTCTGAAATTATTTTATGCTCCAATGATTCTGCTAGCATTTTTTTAATGTTATAAAGTAAAACCCTAATTAAAGAATGCAAAACATTGCTGTAAAACTTTCATTAGAGGAGCTGGCATGTAGTGACTACATCAAATTCCCAATGTCCTTGTTGGTAGGAACATTATTAATTCATTTCAGACAAAGAGGAATTGAGGGCAGTACAATAAATTAACTGATAGTCATATCCTACAGAACAGAAACCATAACCCAGACCTCTAAACAAGCCCTCTGTTGATTCAGAACATGGAAGCCAGGTGACAATCTGCCTGCAGATCATTTACTGTGAGGCTCTGACCTGTCCTTCCACCTGGGTGCCTCCACGGTGACAGCACAGCATGTGTGACACCCTCAGCCAAGCCCTCCACGCCCAGCTTGCTGTGACACCTCCTGCAGCAACAGGGGCACTCTGCAAGTGGCCCCTGAGCTCTCCCCACATGGCCAGAGGTGTCAGGAGCCTGGGCCTGGACTCTTCCAAGCCATCAGGACTGACAGTGGCAGGAGCAAGGCCACCCCAGCTATGCTCTCCTGCTTGTCTAACAGATTTCAGCAACAAGAACAATACACAGGGACACTGCTGCCAGCCCATTCAGGCACAAACCAGTTCTAGACCATCAAATTCATGACCTGAAGCAATGCAGGGAAGTGCACATAAAGCACAGGTCAGCAATGGCAGAGCAAGGAACAGAAAAACTCCCCTTCCTCCAGGTTTAAATTTCACTGGAGGATTTAATCCTGCCAGCTGCAGTACAAACCTACTCAATTGTGCTGTGCTCTGCAGGCCCGAAGAGCACCAAGCAAAAGTTGCAAAGAGGGGAAAGACAATTTCCTCCTGTCTTCCAATGGTGAAACACTGGTCCCTGGGCAACAGCTGTCACATCCACCTCCTCACATTAGAGGAAGCAACGTGAGCACACCTCCATTTGAAACGTACAGGCAAAAGTTAGCAAAACCACTTACCAACACAGTCACAAGTTGGCAATTCAGATTGTCCTTTTTTGGTAGGTGTGTCTATTAAATTTTTTGTAGGGGTATCAAGAAACTTCATGGGTGATTCAAGGAAACTGCTGAGCGTGTTTTTTGCTGGGGAACACCCTGAGTCGCCTGTGCTCTGGGCGTGGTCAGCACCCAATCTGGTTGATGTCAGAACAGTCACCTCACCCACACACTCCACATTCCTGAGAGCTCCAGCAGAAGCTGGCGCCTGGGCCCCAGCACAGGGAGCGGGCAGCACCTGGCACTTCGGCTCTACCTGCGGCGTGCCCTGCTGCCCATGGGCTTTGCTCTCACTACACACTTGGTTAGCTCTCAGGTTACACCGGTTAACGCTTGCTGGCAAAGGAGGCGCCTGACTGACATTTGCTGTTTGCTGTACCTGAGAATTACATTTTTCTGTAAACATCTGTAGGTTTTCAGTTGGCCTTTTCAACAAGGATGCTGTTTTCAGCTGAGAACCAGCCAGAGGATTACGGGAGGACAGGTCGCTGTGCTGGCTACGTGCAGCAACTTCATTTTTCATTGGATCAGCACCTAGTGGGTCACTGGAGCCCACAGTTTTCATTTGCTCATTCACCACTTCACAGCCAAACAACCTGTCTTTTTTTTTCTCCTGTGGTGCCTCAGGTAAACACCTGTGGAATTTTATCTGTGCTTGTGGAAGAAATAATCTAGTTTTTTCTTGTGATGCTAAAGTGTTTTGACTGAGCGCTCTCTGTACTTTGGTCCTTGGAGATTTTTTTTCAGATGGAGCTACCCTGGAGTCCTGTGGCATGGTTTGACCAAGCTTATGGAGTTTTGATGATATCCAAATGTCCTGCAACTCGCTATGCTGGCATGACAACAGCTCTAGCTGGTTTTGATTATTTTGTTGATAGCGTGCTTCTTGAGGCTTCTTTCTGTGTCTCTGTTTCCATGGCACACCATTTCCTTTCTTATTGGTTGCTTGCTTCTGCTTTAACAGCAAGGAACTATAATTACGCCTAAAAAATACAGATTCTTTTTTCTGCAACACTTCTTGGTTGTATTTTGGCTGCCTCTCATGTGATATTAGATTAAGCAGGGATGCCTTTATGTTGTTCTTGTGCTCTGGATTCGTCTGGTTTGATTCAATCAGGGCTGCCAGTTGAGTTAGCTGTGCGGCCACGTCCTCTTCATCCTGGCTGTGAATTCCTCCTTCTTTAACCAAAGAACCACCTTCCAATTTCACATCACCACACGATGGCTTTTGCTCTAACTGGCCAGAAGCTTCCAAGTTGTTCCCTGAATGCTGGACATCACATGAAGCATTGCAGTACCCTGGGAGGGGCAGTGGATCAGGAGCACAACTTTCGCTGGAATCGTATCGCGAAAACGATGCTGCAGTAGATGCTGGGTCAGATAAAGGTTTGGTATCTCTTGAGGGTAACTGCAATTTATACATCCCCCCAGCTGGATTGGCAGGTTTATCACACAACTCAGACACTGAACTTTGGCCATTGTACAACACTGCCTTATTAGGGAGCTGCTTCTGCGGGTGAGCGCAGTGAGCCAAGAGCTGCTGCTCATTCTGTAAGTAAGTGTCTTTGATTTCTTGTAATGCAGAGGATGTAAAGGAGGATGAGATATCCCTTTTAAAACTGTGGAGCAAGTGGGAAGTTGTTTCTCCTGTATGTTCAGTACTTTCACTTTTAGCTGGTGAAGTTGTTTCTAAAGGAGCTTCAGACAACTGTGTTAAAGCTTCAATAGCTACAACCTGCTCCAGAGTTAAATTTCTGGTTTTAATCAGGGACAAGAAAGTGGGCTGGAGTGCAGTATTCTCAGGCTGTGTCTCCACACTTGGTACTGTAAGGCCATCCTTCCCTGCCTGCAGCTCCCCTTCAGGCAGCAGAGGACAACTCAAGCTTTCTTGCACATCCAAGCTGGAACCTGTCTGCAAAACTGACTGATCAGAATACTCAGAGATGCTGCAGGTGCAGTTTTCCTCTTTCATTGAAACATTCCCTTGGTTTTCTGGGTGAACACAGCCAGAGCCGCCTGTCAGAGTGCTTACTGTGTCACTCAGAGTGCCACCCGTTGGCCATTGCATGTGGGAGTTGCTTGTCAGGTCTGTCCTTTCCTCTGCAGGTGCATCGTTCAGTGAGGGAACTGCTTCTGGTGGTGAATAATGCAGGGTGCTGATGCCATTTCTGATGGGGGGCACCAAGGGCTTTTTTGGCTCAGGGAGGTGACAGGGAGGGGCTGCCCTGTGGCTGTGCTCAGCGTGGTTCAAGTGCTGGGTGCCTGTCACAGCTCCGTGGATGTCACCATTGACGTGGACACCAAAGGATGGCTTCTCTGCATGTGCCCACCTCTCTGCTTCCAGGCCAGTCATGCTCTCCTTCTCCTTACACAGCACATTCTCAATGGGCACCGCTTGGTTTGTCTTCACCCTGTATTTTTCACCATGACCACATATACTGCATTCCATGAGTTCTGGTCTGCGGCCATTGACTGCTTTGTTTTCTAGATTTGCCTATAAAACAACAATAAAAAACCCTTGTTGTAACAGCTGTTCAGAGCACATTCAAAATAAGAAGCTTCATATTTACAGCAATTAAACCCCACTTGGACAGATACAAGGAATATCCTAATTAGGCACAGACACTGGAAAATAAGCAAAACAGGAAGTTATAAAACAACCTGAAGGCTAAAGACCCTATCCATTTTTAGAGCTAGTTTTCCCCACTGCTGAGGGACAGAGGAGCAAACTGGCTTAGTGTGGTGGTGGGAGACTAATGAAATGAACAGCCAGATAAAGGATGTTAGCATTTAGAAGGAAATGTAAGGATTCCATTTTGAATTCACTTGCATGAGCAGATTAAAAAAGGGTAAAAAAATGATGTCAAAAGCAAGACTGAAATCCAAGGCATTATATTACAAAGTTCAGCAGTAATTTGGCATAATTGCATTCATTTGGCTAGACCAATAAACTGGCTTAACCAATACCTCTTGGCTGGATACTCTAGCTAATCCTGCAAACCAACCATTCTTGTTTCAAGTCCTTAAATAATTACAAACCTTAATTTCATTAAGCAGAAATGACAGAAAGCCAATTTACATCAGCTCACTTGGAAGTTACTCTTTAAAAAGTTGTTTAGCTTCTGTATTTAGCTGGAAAAGTCCAGGTTTCTCCACAGTCCCTCATGTAAGCTACTCAAAACTGTATTTTAAGTGCTACATTTTAGTGTTTTGTTAAATATGTTCTTCATCTTCACTGATATTATACAGTTCATGTGGTTGAAGCAATGTCAAAATCTACAGGGAGTCAGAACATTGTGCCCTGGAAAGAATAGATATATATATAGGTTTTAAGATAGTATTATGGATATGAAGTAAGGAGTTATACAAAGTAAAAAGAAAACTAATTAAGGCAGAAAGTTATGCAGAACTGTAATTAAGGCAGGAATCCAATTTTTCTTATGCTATTCAGATTTTATTTATATTAAATTTCCTTTAAAAATAATTTTAAATCACAGTGGGTAGTGCTGTTCCTTTATCTGATTGCAACATTTAAGAGTTCTTCAGTCCCCTGTAACCTTAAGCTACACTTAAAAGAAAACCAGGACTGCTTTTCAAATCAAATATCAGCACCATGAGGGGCTAATGAATCCTGTGTAGGCACAGTACCTCACAGCAGTGCCCAGAAAACCCCACCAGTATGAACCACTCAGTTAACTCAGAGATGGTTCTGGGCTCATACCAACAAAGGGCATGGGCTTCTGACAAAACTCAGGAAAATCAATGCAAAATGGATTTATGATTAATTACAGCCATAGAGATGGAACTGTCACAAACCCCCAAAAAAACAAGGCAGCTCCATCTGGAGCTCAGTGGTCACCTTAGAACTGATAGAGCACAACCCCAGGAGTCCACAGCACATCCTGGATGTTCTGAGGGGCCTCATAACCTCTCACAGAAATGTGTAAAAACATGTCCAGCACCTGTGCAGCCAAGTCAATATTATATACAGAAAGATTCCTTATTTAATGTACTAATGTTTAATTCCAGTAGCCACAGATCCTGACTAATGCTCAGTGAGCTGGAGCTCCTCTGGATCCTGGTGATGTTCTGTGAGTGATTCCCAGACCCAGGGGGTCACTGAGCATTTCTAAGGGATCCACAGAAGCTGAACAGGTCCCACCATTCTGTCACTGGCAGGGGTAGATGCATCACACAGGTCTCTGTCACTGTGCCAGAAAATAATTTAAGGGTCCACCATAAAAGAGTAAAACCCACAACTCTATACCTGCACAAAAGCTGAATTTCAATTGCCTTAACTTCAGAAAGAAGTAGAATTGTTGTTCTTTCTTAAGCAAAAGTACATCTAACATCTCTACCAATCTAGAATATTCCCAACCATGTAAAATTTTTACTAAAAATTATTTAATCAGACAATGAGGAGGCTGCAGACATAAAATCAAAGAGATGAAAACTAATTCCCCATCAAGTGCACATTTTCAACACAACACCACATTTTGTATTCCATTCATCATTACAGGGATTGTTCACTACATTGAAGAATCTAATAACTCAGGTCTGGTAATTTGGGAGTAATAAGAGGCATAGGGAAGGAAAAGGCTTCATCCACAATTAGCAGAGATGAGAAGATCTGATACAGAATCCACTGACAGCACTCAGTACAAAAGTGTCACCACAGTCCCCCCAACTAGCCTGTTCCTCAGTAAAATACTATATCTGATCAAAAGCACTGCTATGCTCAGAAATACTCAGGATATTCCATGATCTGCTAGTGCTGCACAGGTACAGTGCTGTGTCCCTACAGAACTGCAGTGATCCCAGCAGCAAAGGTAGACTTGCCTAAAAAAAAATCTTCATACTTCATATTTTCCTAACATTACTAGAAGCTGCCCACATGCAATGAGGAAGAAAAAACCCCAGATGAATCATATCACTGGCATGAGTCAGTTATTTCATATTCTATTTTTCCACATGAAGGCAAAATATTGTCATTAAATCAGCTGTTATTGTTTTAATTAAGCTCTGCCTTTCCAGCACTGTGCTGCTTTATCTCCTGTTACTGAACTGCAGAGGATACTAAAGATACATTTCTTTTCCTCACAAGCGGAAAAGGCCCCAGGATAGTCTGTTAGCATGAGCAGTTAATATTTCCAGCCCAGAGAGAAGTGCAGACACATTACCAGGGACAGAGCTCATTTGGTTCTTCCCCTCTGCCTAGGAACAATCAATCCCCAAGCCCTGAACCTGCATGTGAAAATCCCAGCGAGAAGCACAGCCAAGGATATCACAGCCTCAAACAACAGTGACAGCACTCCCAGGAGGTGAGCACACACCTAGGAACAATCAATCCCCAAGCCCTGAACCTGCATGTGAAAATCCCAATGAGAAGCACAGCCAAGGATATCACAGCCCCAAACAACAGTGACAGCAGTCCCAGGAGGTGAGCACAGATCTGATCTGTTTCTGAGGCTTTCACACAAATGCAATGGAAGCTGAGGAATAAAGCAGATCAATAGCAGCCATTTCCTCTCTCACTAAGGAGAGCTCTACTCTGCCAGGAGACACAGCCACTCACAAACCATGCTCAGGCTCTGGCTCTGAGCTAGTTTGGGCCATGGGGAATCACAGAGCTGCTGTGGCCATGGCTGTTCTACTGAAACTTCAACCAAATATTATCTCACATATACACACACAAGAATTCCTCTGTGAGCTAACGCTTCAGCACACACCAACAGCCACTTACAGCAATCATTTGACATTCTGAAGTTGGATTTACTATTAGAACTTCTCCTTTAACACGTGATGCCCCCGAGGTAATGCAGAATTCACCAACTCCCAATCAAAATGCAATGTTTAAGTTAAGCCAAAGATAATTCCATATCTGAGCAGCAAGCAGCCCATTGATTTGTGTGTCTCTTTTCAGACCTCCACAGGTGATAACAACACACACTCCACTGAAGGACACCACCACGATCAATTACTCTCATAAATGAGAAATAACGGATGATGTCCTATCCAACTACTGATAAAATGCCTCTAGAAGCAAGTCTTGATGAGTAACACAACAACTGTGCCAAAGCCCCCAGGCAGCCCTCCCTGTCAGATTCTGCTCAGGTCCCATGTGAACCCAGTGCCCAACAGCCCAAACAATAACTGCACCCCCTGCTCGTGCCAAAACGGGGATGACCCAAAAGAACAGCTCTTCCAGGGTCACCACATCCGCCAGCACAAAAGGATGAGTGGGTGAGAAGCACCTGGCAGCTGCAGTGCCACGGGTAAGCCTGGATCCTGCTGCAGGGTCTGCAGCCACACAGCCAGCCCCACGTGTCCCTCCAAGCTGGGACAGAGCTGGCAGCTCCTCAGAGAGCCAAAACCACAATATAATATGAGTGCTGTTCCAGAAAAACTGTTTGGAGAAGACCCCAAATGCATTTAATCTAACATTCAAACAAGGTGTTTGGCTCATGGTCCAACAGTCAGGTATCACTGCCTCACCAAGAAGCAAGAAAGCACCACCCAGCTGAGCAGCAATTTAATTTTCTGTCATTTATTCCTGCTGTCTTCCCTGGTACATGTAGAAATTCCTGCAGAAATTCAGCAGAATCGAGCACTTGCACTGGACAGGCCCAAAATACAGGGACAAGGAGATAGGACATGGGTAGGACAGGCACCAGGGAGAGGCAGCTGCTTCTGCCAAGTGCTGTGCAGGAAGCCGTGCACTGCTTAGAACAGACAGATGTAAGGGGGATGCTGTGGAAGCTGTAGGTCACCTCCTGAATACAGCTACATTTTCTTCTTGGATTTTGATTTAATTAAAAGGCAGATACAGCGATACAACTAAGAACAAACTTCTGTTTCTGCCCACTTGACGTGTCTGATACTGCAGTAACGCAGACAGCAGCAGCATGCTGTGGGGTGCTGCCCAAGGCTGCAGCCTGAGCAGGGTGTCCAGGCAGGCTCCCAAACCAGAGAACAGCAGAGCAGGGGCCCAGCTGAAGCTGGGGAATGTTCCCATCCATCTCACCACAGGAATAAAGCAGCTACCAGCACACTGAAGGAGTCTCTCAGGGTACCACACCCCTGCAGTGCCCCAGCTAAGGCACATTTTCTCTAACTATTAATGCACAGAAACAGATTGGGCCCTTTGTTAATGCAACACAGCCTGATGTACAAGGGGCTTTGCTCTGCAAGAGAGCAGTGTTCACAGATGGCACTGAGGGACAGCACAGGATCATGCAGACAAGTTTTACCACAGAAGCTGCTTTAGACAGAAACTCAGAGAACAAGAGGTTCTGCAACTCTGGGGAAAGGAACCTGACCTGGGGCACGACATCCAGGCTTTCCTGGAGGTGTCCCACTCACTTCCAGCTTCCCTGAGTATCGATCCACCCACTCACCAACCTGAGCATCACAGCAAGGAGCGTTCCACACTGGATCCTAGTACAGCTGCAAAGTCTGCTCCAGCAGCTGGTTGCTTTTATATCCATTTTGGTA